TAACCGTTTTTTATTCCATTTCGAGAAACCAAAATGATGTTCTTGGCGCCACGAAATATAAGCCAGTCGGTTAACTCTAAACCAAATCCGACTAAACCACCTAGTATAATATAACTCCTATCTCTGAGACAATAATAGCGACGATAGGCGAGAATGTGCTTATCCAAAGGTTCATCCTTCTCATGGACATTTATTATTACCTATAAAAATAATCATATTTCAAAAATGCATGTTATACGTGAATAATATGTTATTCAAGGCTGTTATTTATGAATAAACCTTTCTAATACTATTCGTTAACACAAGCATACTTTTCCCATATGTTTTCCGCTCGCCATATACCTAAAAGCTTCTTCAATATCAGATTTTGGAAAAATTTTTGCATGAATTGGTTTGATTATTTTATTTTGTAGACCATCGTCTATCATTTTTTTCAATATACGCTTCCACTTACTATCATAAGTTCTTAACATCAAATTTTCCATTCTAATGCCGTGAAAACTGATACCCTTTTGAAATGCAAACATACTTAGGGGATTATTAGAAACAAGATCAAATTTGCCAATCTCTATGAATCGACCGTTTCGAGCTAAACACCGAACGGAGGCGATTAATTTTTCTTCCGCCAATGAATTTAACACAATGTCGACACCGCAACCTTTCGTTTGACGCATAATCATTTGTTCGAAACTTGTATCTCGAGAATTTCCAATATGATCATCCGGAATGATCGGAAACATTTTCTTAATGAAATTCCGTTTGTCATTTGTGCCGACGGTAGTAAATACTTCGCATCCTTCCTTAAAAGCGACATGAATAGCTGCTTGTCCAACGCCTCCAGTACCAGAATGTATAAGTATTTTATCACCCTTTTTTATTTTCCCATGAATGTATAAAGCTAAATAGACCGTGCTGTATATCGCTGAAACCGTCACTGCTTCTTCGAATGTCCACACATCGGGTATATTCCAACAAAGTTTTTCATCTTTCTCAACAATGTTTGCTATGCAACTAAAAATAGAAACTTTTCTTTGTTGTCCATTTTATGTCATCATAATATAATAATTTCTTGTAGCATTACTTACTCAGTATTACGAATTCCCATTACACGTTGTCCGTTAACGTCAAAACCCACATATTCCATACCAAGAGGAAGAGACTGAAATAACCGTCCTTTTAAAATATCCTCTTGAGATGTTAATTTACCAGTGGCGAGCATTACATCTTTAAAATTCAGAGAGGAGTAAACAACGTGCACTAAATCCTCATGACGAGACACGACAGATAAATTATTTTCTATCCAACGAAATGAATTCAAGTCACCACAAACCTACAAAAAAACAAAACTTGTATTATGACATGACATACATAAAACAGAATTTTAAAAAGAAATTTCATGAGAGTATTCATGAGAGTATTCATGAGAGTATTCAATTATCCGTGTGTCAAGCAGAATTTTTCATTTAATAGACTATAAATAAATAATATTATAATGAAGGGAAGCACCGGACATCCGAAAAGTATCTGATATTCGATATTATCCGGCACTTTCTTATTATCCGACCGGATAATCGGATATTATTAATATCCGGGAATATTTTCGGTTGAAATTTTATATTAAAAGTTTGCATCATTGATGCAGACTTCTATTCTCTTCAGCTGAATTTCATACACAGTTCATCTTTCCTCTATTCACGTTGGGGAGATAAAAAAAAAGACAAATTATACAAGAAGTTTAGCTAAGGCTACATTTGGGGAGCGATATCAGCACTATCGTGTCATTCTGTTTTTATCATTCATTAGACATAAAACACGAATAGGATATAGAGCGTGTTCCGAATTACAGATGAAGCACTTGGTGCATCATTTCTCCTTGTTCATCGTTTGCTAAAGGATAAAATGATACATCATGCTACTGACGAGATACTATTAAAGACCGTTAACTCAAATTTTCGTCCATATAAAAGGGCCCCGAGATCCCGTGGGTAATTGATGAATGCTGACATTATCGACAATTGACACAAATCTGCGAATATTAACATAAATATTTGGGACTTATTTATTTAACGTTGGCTATCATTATAAAATAACCATTGATGATCGGCACGTCTTATTTTATGTAATTTTAAGAATTATTAAATGTGATAGTAATAACCCGTTGTTGTTCTTAGCCCTTTTCTATTATATATTTGATTTTATTTAATTGAACATATTTACCACGAATTTTATGAATATTTGGATGACATATTATTAAATTGTTGATTTTTATTGTATACATAAATGTTCTACAAGTAAATATGCATATTCATAATGCTATAATATCTTATATATTGCCGCAAAATTACAATGTTTTTCTGTACAGTTATCTTAGTTAATAATCAAACTTGGACGTTAACTTTAAAATCATAATTATTATCACTACTTCTCTCTTACAGTCCCTTTTCCTTACTGCTCCTTTTTCTATTAATTTTTTTACTCAACTTTTTATTAGACATTGTCCCGGAATCCGATTGGATATCCGGAAAATATCGGATATCCGATTCAAAAAATTACCTTTCCGCATATCTGGATATCGGATATTCAATGTTATATTTTTTTTGTATATCAGATAATTTTACGATTCGGTACATTCCTATTATAATGATAACTATCAATTATACGTTTTGAAAAAGTTTGCATGTACCGTTTGGCAGACATGGCCGGTTAGTACAGGTTTCGGTTCCGGTTGTGGTAATTTTAAATATCTGTATGATCCCCAGGTTTTATCAGGTCGCAATACATTAATGGTCATATCTTTCTGCAATTGCTGTAAGTAAACGGGGTCTTGAAGAGAAAATTTAGGAGCTTCCTCATCTTGAACGAGCACACTCCTAACAAGTTCACTACCTGGCTCTTTTCTCAAGCAGTTAATAAAACCCAATAAACCGCACTCAAAATTTTTCTCTCCCACAATTATAATTCTACTATTCTTGTCAAGTTTGTTTTCGTCACTCAAAAGCGACTTTAGATTCTCCAGCCAATTAAAGTTATCATTACTTATGTAAACTATAGTCCTTTCTTTTATCAAAACTTTTTTTTTCAAAAGCATAACTAGTTCTTCATCAGTGCGTTTTTCGAGTATAACATTTAATTCGTATTGCTGCAAATATTTTTTATAATCAATTAAGTCGCACTTCTCACGAGTCAACAGATAACCATCCTTTCTCAAAAATGGCAACAGTTGCTTTAATGATGCGTGTTGTTTGGTCAAAAGGTTGAATCCAGCGACAATTAAAGCTTTGCCATCCAAAGATGATTTTTCAAAATCTTTGATTGAGAAGTTTTGCGGTAAGTCTTCTGGCTTGAAACGATTTGATGATGTTAATAGAGTGACATTCATTTCTATCAGTGGTATATCACCAAATGCCTCAAGCAATAACGAAGACGAGAGATGTTCTAATTCAACATCATCGACATCTTCCACTAGCTCAACGGCTTGCACTTTGATAATTTGATGATCTTCCAGTACGAGTTGAGCCGATAACCGAATTGCTTCGTTCAAGGAAACCTTAGCGCGATCACAATGAGCTACAAATGTATGTTCCTCGATAACAACATCTTGAGCTAATTTCCGGCGAGAGATCTGAGTAACTTTCAGACCTTGAATCTCTACTCCGACAGCTTTTATCGTGTCTATCTTTTTGTATACTCGTACCTGTAATACTGTAATAAGGCAAGTAAAATAATACGCTTCACATTATTGAGCTCTTTACATAATATTTACGAATTTAACAATGAAATAGTAATGGAAGTTATTTACATTTATCCATGTCTGTTGTAACTTCTGCATTATCTATGTTATCCTGCAGCTTTGAAAGATGAAGCATTGGATTGATCACTAATTTTTTAATACCCGTAGGAACACATAATTCCCTAGTATCATATCCGATAATTATCATTTGTAACATAGTATCCATAAAAGATTCCCAATTACTTTTCCAAGTGATATGTCCTTGGGTTCCCGAAATAGAGGCACTCTTTAATCCACGAAATAAGCCTCTGTACTGGTATCCACGCAATTTTAATTCTTTGTAGACATCTCGTGCATATTTTCATCTTCATCACTATTCTCCGATAATAGATCTGTCGGAACCATTTCTTGTTCTGGATTTAATGTCTCGTATACTGTACCCGTTACAACAATGCTGTCTCCTTCGGTTATTTCAAACTTTCCATCTGTAATAGTCATATATATTTGATTATACTGCATTTTTGTCATCATACTACATTAACCGTGATCGGTTCGCTAATCCACCGGACTCAGATATTTTTTTCAACTGCCTTGCAAAGAATTATATTATAATAAATGTTTAAACAATAATTTAAGGTACAATGAATCTGCAAATACTGCTATGGAAATTTCAGAGAAAATCCACTTAAATTAAAACAATTAATCCTGTAAATACCTGTCTGTATTACAATATATAGTTCCACAGCATCATTTTTCGACAAATAAGTAGCACGAATAAATTTTACATCTCGGAAAACTATCGGTACCGTTGTGTACATTACCCCTTTTATCATGCCAATAGTTTTCCAAACGAATCCCAAATAGCTTGTCGCAGATAGCAAATTTTTTCCATCAATTACATGACCGCTCATATATTCATATTCCTCATCGTCAAGTAAAATGTTGACGTATCTCCCTCTTGATTTTATAAACTCTTGATATTCTTTCGGTACAAACCAATTTGCAGAATGATCCCATCTGATTTGTTATAATTCATGTTTATGAGGCATTCTTTTACAAACCGAACACTTTTTTTTTCGACATTTTTAAATCGCTTCAAACTTTTTTTACCAATTGTAGGTATAAAATAAGAGAACACGT